CATGTGGATGACTTGCTCCCTCTATCGACACTCTCTGTTGTCGAAAATGCAAACTAAGACCTCATTGGTGTCACACAAGGCTACAAGATAAATCTCTTCTTCAAACTCAGAATCCATTCATGTTCTTCCAGGATGGTTCTTGCTGTCTCTACATGTGAAATCAATGTTGAGGGGTTCCTTGTAAGGATTACAAGTAATGGAAGATAAAAATGTACCTTTGTCTGATTTCAGTGATGAGTGAGACAAGGACTTTTGAAAATACTCTGGTTGCTGAGCTTAGGTCAGTTGGAAGAACTCTGAACTGTAGGTGCAAAAACTGCAAAATCGGAGGAATCTCTGATGCTCTGTGGCAAATAGGATGTGTAAGTAGGCATCTTTGAGACCTATTGATATCTACCAATCGCCTTGACAAACCACTTTGATGATCGAGTTTAAGGATTCCATCTTAAATTGTTTGGCACACAGATAGGTATTGAGGATCAACAAATCTAGGATTGGCATCCATCAGTTATTTCCCTTCAGAGCCAGGATCAATCTTGAATAAAATCCTTGAAACCTTTCTTCTCTGGGTACTGGAAAAATGACCTTCTGACATAAGAGTGTATCCAATAAAACCAAAAGATCATTCCTTTTGTCTTGGTATTCTGGGAAAGCAGAAAGGAAGAATTTTCTTGGAGGGGGAAATTTAAATACCATGTTCCTAACACACAAATGGCTGAGTTAATGGTTCCAGGCTCCTCACAAGAGAAGCAACCAGACGACCACTTCTGCAGCCTGAGCCGGTAGACCGTCTTTTGTTTTGTCTTGAAGATAAACCTCTACCGCAGCCTCCTTGCTATACTAACTCATATCTCTGAAGGACCACTCATCAGTGTTAGAGGGATGTGTATTCCTCCTAACAAAGCCTGTCTGCCCTCTGCTGCTTTCTTCATATATTTGACCAGCTAATGACCTAAGAGCATAACCCCTTGATAGGGTAGGGAGCAGAGACTGTTTTTGGGGGCCTTGTCTGCTTCCCAGGCCTTTAGCCATAAGGATCTAAAAATTGAACAATCCAGATCCACTGAGGCATCAGAGCAGAATTCCATAGCTAGGATTATATTCTCCACTGATCTAAGGAGATGGGACCTGCTCACTCCATTTTTGATATCTGTTTCCAGATCCTCAGCCCATTGTTTAATGGCTCTTGATACAGAGATCAGTGCAGTTGCAGGATGGAGATTGGCTCCTGCTGCTACCATAGGTTCTCTTAAGGAACCTGAATTATTAATAGGCAAGGTTGTTTGTTTGGCCAATCTAACTATGGCTGCACGATCTTAGGAGCTATGACTTAGGGTATGGCATCATATTTCTTGGAGGGGTATGGTTTAGACTGTTTGCCATGAACAATCACCCACTTTACAGACTTTTCCAATTCTTCTTCTATGGTTTCATGCAGTGAGAAGTTCTTCAGGATCAAACACAAAAAAGTGTTTGATCCTGAAGAAAGTCCTAGATGTGGGACTGAAACTTTGAACTTTTAATGCATATCCAATAAATTTAAATTTTAATTGAAGACCGTGAGTGCAACTCTTTCCCCTTCTGTCATATATATGTATATATATATATATATATATATATATATATATATATATATATATATATACAGAACATAAATAAACTATAGATAGACACTGTTAGAAATAATTCAGAGACACAGATCTGCTATAAAAAGTCGCACTAGAACTGCAGAGAGGGAGAATTTCAGACCAAACAATGGAAAGGCCCCTTTAGAAAGGAATTTACAGAGTCGGCTAGAAGGCTATGTGCGCATGCGTAATTTGCAGAGCCGAATGTCACTAAAAGACTGTGAATGTATAGATTTGGCCAGGAAAGTGTTTGCCAACATGGAAACGACACTCAATCGTAATAAAGCTATTTGCACCTGTGAAATTTGCCGAATAACGTCAAAAAAGGAGAGAGAAATTCATAACTGAAGCCCACATGTAAGCAGACAGAAAAAAACACTACCAAACAGAAATACTCATAGGAATCCATTCCATCCAGGATAACAAAGGCAACAACAGGATTTACCCTAATCCTAGGGTTCCTAACTGCTACCCAGGGGTCGCAGCAGTCACCCTTGGTGAGGCGCTGCATACTGCAGCTTCCAGGAAAAGAGAGGCTGAACTTCTCCCAGGATAAAGAACTACCAAAGTTCCAGGTATGTAAATAAAAAAAGTAAAACAAAACATAAAAATGTCCAAGGGAGTGTGGACAGGAAACTAGGAACTGGGGTCCATGGGATAAGGGGAACTATGTATAGGCTAAATATTTGGATCCTGTACAATGGCCATGGCCGGGAAATATTTATTAAAGCTTGTGCATATATTTAAACAAAATTTTTAATATATACTATAGAAAACTAAATGAAGACCCCACCAATGAATATACATTACAATTTAGGGAGCTCATTAAATCCTGCCCTAAGAATTAGCATCTAGAACTGCAATCACTCATACCAACTAGTCCTCGCATGGGCACTTTCTATGTGCTTCTCAAAATCCACAAAGCAGGTAATCCTGGAAGACCCATAATTACAGGAATGAGATCTCTTACAGAACAGGTCTCAGGACTGGTAGAAAATACCCTAAAACCTCTAGTCACCAACACTAACAGCTTCATAAAAGACACAACCGACTTCCTCAATAAATTCAGTCAAATCACCAATCTCCCTGCTAACACCATCCTTGTAACCATGGATGTGGAATCTCTGTACAGCAACATTCCACATACAGATGGCATCAATGCTTGCTTCCATTTCCTCTCTTATGCCGACAAACAAAAATACAGCCCCAAATTATCACAGAACTGGCACTATTTATTCCCAGACATAACTATTTCAGGTTTAACTACAAACCATGGGCATTGCTATGGGCACTAAGATTGCACCCCAATATGCTAATCTGTTTATGGCAGATCTTGAACAGCGAATTCTAGAAATACAGCACACCAAACCATACAAATATTATCGCTATATTGACAATATCTTCATAATTTGGACTGAAAGCAAAGAAAAACTGATACAGTTCCATGACTCTTTTAACACATTCCATCCATCAATCAAACTAAAGATTGAATATTCCACTAGATCTGTGAATTTTCTGGACACCACTGTGACATGTAACAATGGCACAATCCACAACTCGGTTTGCAGAAAACCCACAGACAGGTGCAGTTACCTTCACAGCTCCAGCTTCCACCCCTCCCATACTAAACAGGGCATCATCTACAGCCAAGCCACTAGGTACCATCGCATATACTCTGATCCTAATGACCGTAATTCCCATCTAAATGTATTCTCCCAATCTATGAGACAGAAAGGCTACAAACCGAAGACTATTACCAAACAAATTAACTCTGCTGTAAAAACTTCATGCACGCGCCTAATACAGTACAGAGAGAAAAAAATATCTACACAAGTGCCACCTTTGGTCAACTACAAGATTTTTAGGAAATAAGGAAAATCATTAAAGACCTACAACCAATGTTAACAGAAGATGAGATTCTGAATTTTTTTTCTCTGAAACACCCATTTTGGCCTTCAGACAACCACCAAATCTCCAACAAAAATTAGTCAACAGGAAGCTGCCCACTGATGGGAAAAATAAAGAAAACAGGACCAGTCAGTGCAAAAACCCTCGCTGCAAACTGTGTCAGCACATATGCACAGACAACACAGCCACACACAACAATAAAACCTACAGAATTAAAGGATCATACTCCTGCACGTCCAGCAATGTGGTATACATGATTCAATGCACCAAATGCCACCTAAGATGCTACATTGGGGAAACCACTCAGCAAGTAACTGGCAGAATGAATATACACAGACATTCCATTAAACACCACAAAGAAAGATCGTACTGCACTCCTGTAGGACACCACTTTCCCCAGCCTGGCCACTCAATGAAGGACCTAAAAATCTAAGTACAGAAAAGGGGGTTTAAAAACACCCAAGAAAAAAAATATTTTGAAACCAGAATAATCAAATTGTTTAACAGCAAGAATAGAGGACTAAATATTGATTTAGGTTTCCTGTCCCACTACCAACACTTTAAATGAACACTCTCCCAGCATATTTTACTGTTCTGTCATATGTATGAACATTTTAAAACGCATTCCAATATGTTTATACTATCAATATATAAGTACTATGTGTAGACCTATGCTTTCTCATACTCTTATGCATGAATGCTTATATATGTGACTGTGCATTTATATTTATGTATATGCGTTCATGTGTTTATGCGTTTGCATATACATATTTATGTGTGTGTATGTATAAAGTGTACCATCTTCTGCACTGTCTGCTTGTTTTTCTTCTCCCTCTCCCCCTTAACTCTGCTCTTCAGAAAGATTTTTAGGACTCTCTGCAATAATGGTGTCTATTTTCTAACAAACCTTTGTCTTATCTGCACTCATGTCACTTTAACCCCTGGATCACAACTCAACTTTGAATTTTATACGTCTTCTGGCTCAGAAATGCTTCAGACTTGAGAAAGGGAGGTTCTCCCGAAAGCTTGTCATAAAAAAGGTATTACAAGATACAAATGTTATCTGTTTTTACATATATATATATAAATGAAAAAATCTTGCACTCCAAAACTCCAAATCGTGAGTGTACTTGTCCGGTACTTGTCAGCATGATTAAAAGCCTCGTTGTGAAGAAAGCACTCCAAGGACTTTGAAAAATAAAACGTAGCTTTTATTTGCTTAAAGATAAAATATCAATGTTTCAGTTTGATGCCCAAACAGTCATCCTGACAACGATAATTATATATATGCACATATATGTACAACTAGTAAGCTATTAAGCTAGTTTAAAGTATGTACTCATTATTAAGAAGAAGTAATCTGTATATATGTTTCTAAGTTTGTGTGTGTTTTGTGTGTATGTATAAAAGTATACAACTATGAAACTAAAATAAAGTATTCCTTTATGAACTATGCAGTGACAAATGATTCCCTGCGCAGAACCTCCCCCTCATACAATTGAAATTTAAAACGAACTGGACAATAATCTGTACATCACTATTAAACTCCTAAATCATTGTATTTCCAACAAATGATGGATGACAGTCTTTTTCTTAAAATTTCTTGATGCCCTCCACCCCCCTTCCCCCTGATAAGAGACGTTTTATTGCTGGGAAATAAATTATGTTTTTGTATAGAACAGCTTGAAAGATTGCAGATGTAATAGATTTGCACAGTGATTATGAAATTTCAACTGAAAACTAGTTAACAAAGAAGATTTAAATGTTTTTAGATCAATAGAATAATGTAGCCGGAGGGGTTCCTTTTTTCTAGCACAAACAGAGGAGATTTTTTTGTATTTTTGTCTGCCAGATTCTGAGAAAAGCTCCGTCCATTCCAGCTTATAATGATGTGTTCTCAGCTCATGAAAACTCACAATAAAAAAACATGTCTTTTCTGCACAATTAGCAACAAAACCATCACACTGACCATTCATAAATGTTAATGTTCAGAAAGATGTGTGTGTCTGCATCAATTGCAAACTGAAAGAATAGATGAAATAATAGCGGTGTGGTTACCATCTTATTTAATACTGATTAGGTGAATGCAACATTTAGATTTTTTTTTTAATACACATATTGTTAGTTACCTGCTTCTTAGTCCTTATAAACTCTGTAAGCAGCCATTGTGCATAATGAGAATGTTTTTTATTGTAAATGTAATTATCAATTAATAAGAATAAACCTAATATCATAACAAATTGGAAAATATGGTGAAGTCGAAGATGATGATTATTTATATAGAGAAAACACAATCCTTTATAATTTTACAAATGGATATAATACAGCAGGTAATTGAAAACAAAGTATGTTCACAAAACCAGGAGGTAAAAAGCATAAGCATTGCTGAGGAAGGGCTCTGCAGCCCCCGATCTCAACGGGGGGAGGGTGGGAAAGAAACTATCAGTGTATTTTTTTATTAATAATTTCTACTCAAAGCAGCCGCATGACAGTAAGAGAAAGATCATAAGAAATCTGATTGCCATTATCGAGTCAATAAGTACTTTTTTTCTCTTTTTGTGGCATAATTGGATATGACTACAATTGTTTTTTAAAATGTATTTATTTTTTTGCCTTCTCTTAGGTCATCAGCATAATAGAATGGGTTTCAAGGATGAACTTGATGGACTTCAGTCTTTTTTCAATCTAACTGTGTAACTATGTTGTGCTCCACTAGGCTTCTAAAGGGGACACAGGTAACTGGTAATTGGGAGAGAGTACTCGGGAACTTTGCTAAACATCCCTCAATCAGTTGGGTAGCATGGTAGGATCCCATTGAATAATAGCTTCAGAGCAGTGCTTGTTCCTGTCTATACTTTGAGAACTATTGGAGTACAGCCAAGGTACACTCTAAGTAGGGGGGTAACCCCTGATAGAAATGAATATCAAAAGAGGAGGAGTGAGTACCTTAAGAGAAGGGGAAGGGGGCTATCACTGAGTAACAAATGTGCAAATATAGCACAAAGATGTGGTCCAAGTACTTCTTCTCAATGAAGTCTTCTTCTCAATTCAAAAGTTATACCAACAACAAATTAAGGGATACTGGGAGCTAATCAGTCTTAAACAATACTTGGACCACATCTTTGTGCTATATTTGCACATTTGTTACTCAGTGATAGCCCCCTTCCCCTTCTCTTAAGGTACTCACTCCTCCTCTTTTGATTTGTTCCTGTATATACTTTCATTGAGATGATGGACAACAGTAGCATACTGTAAATAGGTAGGGGGTAACAGAGGAAGGTAGTGAGATTTTGTGACATCTTCACCTCTTTGCTGCTATAAGGCTAATCAAGTTTTGTTTTGGTCTTAAGCCCCAGGTAGTTCGGAAACCCAGCAACACCCTGAAGAAGGTCTGACTCTTCATATACAATATAGAGCAGCAATGGACACCCCTCCCTGTAATATGTGTCAGTAACTAAAACCAAGACGCAGCTCACTCACATGGCAAAGAGCTTGTGAAATAAAGGATGTTCACTCTTTTTAAGATTTTGGATACTATTAATTGAATATCACAAATGCACAAGTTTGATTTCAGTGAGGGACTAAACGAAGGAACCTTCCAGGAGGAGGTTCTAATGACACCTGATAAAGTATACCAGCTAATACCTACCTGCCATTGCTAATGAAAAGAAGAGAAGTGTATTTTCTAAAAATGCCTCCATAACATAAAAAAACTACAGTTAGTAGTTACCTGGCATCCTTGTCATATAGGGCACTGCAGGCTGCTATTACAGGCTGCACATAAACCATGTAGTACGCATAGAAACCTTGATTTTTTTATGCTCTCCCTCTCTCCTTGTCTGCAACCTTTTGCACCTCGCAACGTGTTTGGTATACTGTGTAGATCAAATATAAAGTCAGAACAAGATGCAATTTAATTCCATGTTTTAGTTCTACAAAATGTGAAAATGTATGCAAGGCACTGCACATTTCTGTCCAACATTACTATATTGGATAATAAAATGTAAACTTGTGCAAAAGAAGGTAAAAAATGTTTATTACATAGTTATTTTATTTTTATTTATTTTTTTTACAAAGTTCTACATTCTGAGATAAAGATAATGGGCTAAACTAGAGCATCATCCATCTATTGCCTGCAAATGCACTATTTTAAGGCTGACTGGGTGGTCTTAAGTCTATTGCCACATTTGCTATATCAGTGATACCAATCAGGACCCCACAGCTGAGACCCTGAGTGACCTGTTTCAGCAGATTTTTTTTTCAGACTCCTTCTCCCTCAATTGTGTGGGGATGCTCTCCTGCTATCTTATTTATGGGATTACATAAACGAGCCATTAAAAATGTAAATCTTTAGAACAGTCGAATAATACAGATTTTTAAACAATAAGCTCACGGCGGTACAGTACAGAGACCCAACTAAACCAACAGTGTGGCAGCCTTGTGGCTATGGCAACAATAGAACAGTTGAAAAAAAAAAATCAAACATCTTAGTATTGGAATTGTCACTTCAACCAATAAGAGATTAGCCGCTATTTTAAGCAGTATTACAACAATAATGAAGATGTATCAATTTTAATCTACAAAAAAGGATATGCCATCTCTCATACTGCAGGTGCCAAAACAATCAAATGGATATGAGAAGGACATTAACCCTTTTGGTGCAACAGAAGTTATGTTCAGTGCTGTATTTATCTCTGTGGTATAAAAAGTTTAAAAAATGAATTAATTATAAATATATGGGGTATTAATTCTAGCAAAATGTGTTTAATTCTTTAATAATTTATTTTTCTCTTTGCCAGTGTTGTGATAATTTTATATATATTATAAAACATTTATAAGCAGGAATTCATTACTTTTAATTGCTCTTGTAACTGTAAAGACAGACTTGATTACTCATTAAAGAGTAATTCAAAGCTAATTTAATGTTATTTAGACTCAAATAGCTAAAGTGATAATATAATGTGCAATAGAGTGCCCTGGGGGATCTAACTGTTGGGTAGATATATAAGACATTTCTAGTAAAAGAGCCCTTCTGGCGTATATGCCCAGGTTATTTATTCAACTAGCAGAATATTACTAAATTTTGCCATCTCATACCGCTACACCATGGCTATCCAGATGTTAGTATGACAACTTGTTATCTTCTAGCTCTCCCTCAAACCTTCATGCATACTTACGCAATTGCCCCTAATTAGTATGGACAGTTCCTACTTTAGAACCAAATCCCTCCATTGAGCGGACCGCCTCCTTCGGTCTTCCTACCCGATCGGCTAGTCTCCTGGACGCCGGCTGCTGTGCGCACCCCATTCTAATGACATGGCGCTCGCGATGGGCAGTACTATGGGCAGGATTTACAGATGCCCTTTTACGTTTTGGGGGCATGACTACATCCATCACACCCCCAAGCATATAAAAGCACATTTAGCCAGTGTTTCAGTGCCCTGTTGTGGCTCGTAGCTTGATAGTGTCCCAAGAGTGAGTTATATTTTGGTTTTGTGCTATTTTGGTATTGACTCAGCTTTTTCCTAACTACTCTGATTTCTGGTTCCCTTGACTGGGCTCTGGTATTTAACTTTGGTTGTTCTCTGGTTCCCTTCGACTTTGGCCTGTTTTTCGACTATTCTCTTTCTATTATTATTATTTTTATTATGATTCTTGCCATTTAGATAACGCAAACAGATTCTGTATCGCTTTACAATATTATTAGAGGAGGGATTTCCTATAAATGGGACAATTACAAGAAAACTTACAGGAACGATAGGTTTAAGAGGGCCCTGCTTAAATGAGCTAACAGTCTATAGAATGTGGGGTATAAAACATATTAGGATAGGATATTACTTTCAGTCCGGCCATTCTAAGGACCAGTTTAGGTATTTTTGTTTTACCTATTGGAGGCAGCGGTGAATTTGCCGTGAGGCTGACAAGGCATTTGCCTAGGGTGGCACTTTCAGGGGGGCGTAAAAAAAAGCCACCACCCAAATGCCTCGGCAGATGCCTGGTCAGCCTCTTGTCCTGGGGGGCTTAAGAAGTGGCCAGCTATGGGGGGCCCCGAGGCTGGCACCTGTTCTGTTTGCTCGAGGGTGCGCCAGTGATCACTCTTTCCTGAGCTCTTCATGCTCAACTCCCTTGTGCGCACTGCCATAATGCTGTAGCCAGTATATGACGTCTCTCCGGCTCTGGCATTACTGAGTGGCACGCAAGGGAGCTGAGCAGGAGGATCAGAGCTCCCTCACTGCCCGCCTGACTGTGCGCGTGTCTCCCCGACCGCCCACCCGCGCCCGTGCCTGCCAGCCCAGCCAGCAGCAGCCCCACAGGACCCCAGGGATGAATCAACTTCAGCTCCCAAAGGTAGGGAGCCGGATTGAGTTGACATTAAAAAAAAATGTGAGTATGTGACTGTTAGTGAGAGTGTTAGTGTGTGCCTGTTAGTGAATGTGTTAGTGTGTGTCTGTTAGTGAGTGTGTTAGTGTGTGTCTGTTAGTGAGTGTGTATCTGTCACTTTGAGTATGTGCCTGTCAGTGTGTGTATGCGTGTCTAACAGTTTGTGTATGCGTGTTTCGGTGTGTGCATGCGTATGTCAGTGTGTGTATGTCTGGTAGTGAATGTGTATGTCTTTCAGCTAGTGTATGTGTGTCAGTAAATGTGTGTGTCTAACACTGTGTGGTGTGTCTCTGTCATTGAGTGAATATATGTC